AGCACTTTCTCTAACTTTTCTTTTGTGTGGATAAAAATTGACTAAACTTTAACAAAGAAAGAAAAGGAAAAAAAACTATAAACTCCTAATAATAAAGGAAACAACCTTTCTATAGGACAACATGGTAATGGAATAAAATGTTAAGTATAACAAATGTGAGTAGTATGAGTAATAGTCTTATATTGACTAAAAATATAACGACTTGAACAGTTATAAGTGAGAGAACTCATACGTCTATCACCTTAAGGTTTTGTGTGAATATATGGTGTGTCTATCACCTTAAGGTTTTGGTTGAATATATGATGTGTCTCTCACAAAGGTATTGCTCTAAGAAAAGTCTCACAATGTTCAATACTCCATAGTGAAAATCTCCCCTAATAGTGGTATCACGAGCCTTTATTTCGAGGAAGAGACCGACTCACTTGTATCGAAAGTATCCCATAGATCGTGGCTAGAGTGTCTCGTTGAAGAGTATCAACGGCAGTACAAGTATATGTGGAAGTAGAAAGTGTATGCGAAAATTTCCCCTAACAAAAAAGAAAATAAACTACATAAAAGATCACTATAAATTTTAACACCTCTGAAACTAAACAATGATCAGAAAAGTTAAACTAGTGTGACAATGCAGTGGTTCAACGATCTGATGCAGTGAAGAGAGACTAACCTATAAGGTTACGACTCCAACACTCAAGCCACTAAGAGAATGAGAAGTGAAGTGTAAATGGGGAAATTGGATTCGTACCTAAGAGATGACACCTTTATATCTTTAAATGAGAGATTTAGTTAACAATTGAATGCAAGTGTGAGCGTAAGATGTAGATGACCGCCAGATAGAACTGGACAATAAGGATATGTTTTACTAGTAAGCTAATCTGAGTGATATCAAATGTAGAACACATATGTCCTTTGCCTTGTTTTGCATTTCACCAATATTTAGTCTCCTTGTCATTTTAGGTCTTACATACGACTTATAACAATTGCTCCCTAAACCATTGTCTTCTATTTTGTAAAGTGAAAGTTTGCAACTAATGATTTTAAACCACAGGCTGATAGGATATAGATATTTGGTGGAACACTGTTTCTCTTTAAAACCAGTGAATTTAAACATCCTTACGAGGCACTGCATGGCGTTGAGAATGGTCGACACATACTCATATTCTAATTAGTAATGGTGATCTACTTCATCCAAGGGTACTTTAATGGCTTTTTAACCATTTTGGGTGGATCTCTACCATTGATGGTGCGAAGTGAACGTATGATATTCAACTCTCTATGGGGGACATACGAGACTTTCCTAGGGTCATAATCATTCCTTATTGAGTGTTATTCACTTTGCATAAAAAATCTCTTCATTCTTTTACCTTCTATTTTGGAGATATTCTAGGACGAGCGTCGACCAAGCTCAAAGAGATTTTGGCCGTTATTTTCTCCTTTATGCGTCTGGTTTCTTGTTTATCTCTTGAGTTTTAACATCTAAGCTTCTCTCCTTCATCTTTGTTTAACCAATTTTTAGAATTCCTACAACTGGTGATCGTTTGAGCTTGTTTGCCATCTCTTTCGTACCTGTATTAGTTCTGAACATACTACCTCTGTTTTTTTTTATTATAAGTCGTTTTGAGAAAAAAAATTGTACGACAATATAAGTCACTTTATAATACCAAAGAATCATTAATGTTATTTTTCCTTTTATACCCTTAAATAGTTATTATTCTCTTTCTTTTCAATTATATAAATTTGTCTCTCCAATACCATTAATAAAGGACAATTTTGTAAAAACATTCACAATTTCTCTTTTCCATACTACAATTATTATATTTCTTAATATGTGTGAAAAGTAAAAAACAACTTATAATAAAAAATGGAGGGAGTATTTAACTGTAACACCCCCAAATTTTAAATTATTAGTCTTATTTAATTATTTGAGTGGGGGTGTTACAGTAACCGTGATTAAATATGTTCAGAACTAATAATTTAAAGTGAGGGGACTAGAGGGTAGGGAGAAAAAAAAACAGAATTTGAGAAAGCGAACGATCATGGAATTGGGGTTTTAGGATAAAGCTTTAGGAGGACCCTAAGGAACGTGAAGAAATTTGCCAAAACTTCAAATTTTGAGGTAAGGGCGGAATTATTTTACTTATGGATGGCCTTAAGCAATCATGACAATGATGGATCCTTACCCCCTTATCTCTATATTTCGTGTTATATGACATTTGTCCTTATTGGTGACCTATGGGGTTTGGTCAAAACCCCTAGGGTCGTCGATTGATGTTTTACTATATACTTTTACTGTTACAATAGAATTACGTATGAATATGTGATTGTTGTGATGTTTTTTTGTGATATTCTGATAATTTGTGAGTTGTATGATTACTGTAATATTGTTGTTATGATTTCTGAACTTTTTGTGATTTCTGTAAAATTTGGGAATTGTTTTGATATGTCTATTATGGTGCAATATTTTTATTTTGCTCTGTTTCCCAATGTGTAGAAACTAAGTATTTTAAAAAATTTCAGAAAAATATAATTTTCTTAAAATTGGATTTTTTAAACGAAAAATCATAAAAATTGAGTACAAGCTGTACGACGGGGATGTATGATAGAGCGTACGATAGTGGTTGTACGACGGGGTTGTATGGGCGGCAAAAGGCGGTTTCAGAAGTTTTTGAATTTGAGGGTTAGTTTGGCAAAATTCGAGCAATTTTGTTGTTAGCAACCTTTTTGATAAATTGAGATAAAATTATGGTTTTAGAGTTAGTTTTAGGGTTAAATACAATTTATCCCTTTAATGTGGGCGAATTTCGACTTATCCCTGTAAAATAATTTTTTTGGATGCCCTATTGTAATGTTCAGATTCTGTTTCTTTGTCCTTTTTAGTGACATGACAACTATGGAACATTCCTATTTGTTGACTTGACAGCCTCTCGTAACATTTTAATTAATTAATTAATTAATTATGGCTTAATTGCAATTTTGGTCCCCCTATTTTGTATTTTTTTGGGTTTTGATCCCCCCATTTTAAAAACCACGATTTTGGTCCCCTTTTAGGTTTTAAGATTGATATTAGTCCCCTTGCCATTTTAAGTCATGTTTTTAATGATGTGGCGCGTTGAATGATGATGTGGCATTTCCATGTCATTTAAATGGTCTTTTTAATTTTAATATCATTTCCATGTCATTAACGTGGTTTTTTATTTCATTTTCAGAAAATTAATAAAATAAAACCTAAATGTAAAACCCCACCTCTTTCATCTTCAACCCATTTCTTCAACCATTCATCAACCCCTATTTTTTCACGAAGAACAACCCATTTCTTTAAACCCAGTCCTCATTTCCTCAACAAACCCACATCAGCCCTTCTGTAGCCATTAATTTCGAACCCAACATGCCTCTTATTTACCAACATGTCTGAAACAAATTTTTCTTTTTCCTCAACAAACCAGTCTGGGTCTGGTATAAGAAGAAGAGGTAATAGGTGTTGGTGTGAGCTTGAGTCACCGTTGATGACGTCATGGACATACGATAATCCCGGAAAAAGATTTCATGGTTGTGATAATTTTAAGGTGATGAGGAAAAAAGGATGTAATTACTTTCAGTAGGTTGATGAAGACATGAGCAGTCATGCTAAAGATATGATAAGATCTTTGAAAGACAAGAATGAGGAGCTTATGGATGTGATTAAGGACATCAAGAAAAATGAAGATTTGTTGAAGATGAAAATTAGGTTTATGTATTATTTTGTGGGATTATCTTTGATGTTTGTCTTTTTAATTGTGTTTGCATTAGTTGCAACACATGTACTCAAATGATGTAATGTCAAATGTTGTAGTTACTTTGATTTTATGTAGTTCCCAAATGAACTAATTTCAAATGAAGAGTTATGATTGTCTGTGTTAATGAAGAGTTATGTTGTAGTTACTTTGATTGTCTTCAAATGATGTTTATGTAGCATTACCTTGTATTATGCAACATAATATTAAAGTATCTGCATAATATTTCAAATGAAGAGCAGCATAACCTTGTTTATGCAGAATAACTTGATAAATAGTATGATACAAAATGACTGAATACTAGTTCTTATTTACAATGATACAAGACTCCTAGTTCTAAATTAATAGGGAAATCAGGGAACACATCATGTAATAACTAAAGTAAACTGGAAACAGATTTTATGTGCAAACAGTTTGAAACAAATTTTAGTAGTACTTTTGCAAAGAGAAAGTACAGAAAAGTATTGAAAGGTACAAAAATAGTTTGAAGCTGATCTTATAAATCTCTTTGTTACGTTAATAAATTGGTCTTATTGGATAATTTGTGTTGTAAAAGAAACCAACATATCACTTTCAAAACTATAATTGGGTTACATACAATGCAGTTTATTTTGAAACCTGTCAAAACTATCATCTTCTGTATTTTGAAACCAACAGTTCTGTATTATGAATCCTGACAAGCTTCTGAATAAATATTACATAACAAGAAGTTTAGTTCAGTGCTGTCAAAAATTGAAACCTTAAAAGAACTACATAACAGGCAGTATTACTTTGAACACTGATGTATCATAACAGCACTGCATAACAGGCAGACAACATTACTTTGAACATTGATGTATCATAACAACACTACATAACAGACAAACAACATTACTTTGAACACTGATGTATCATAACATCATTGCATTCTAATAATAAACTAATGTATAAACAACACTGCATTGTAATAATAAATTGATCTATAACATTGAAGGCTGATGTATAAACAACACTGCATTGTAACTTTACATATCAAACAACAGCATTACATAACAGCACTACATAACATAACATTGAAGACTGATGTATCAAGACTGATGTATCATTACATTGAAGGCAGCATTAAAGATAACATATTTTAACAAAAAAACCTTGAGTTTTTTTGGTCATAACATATGCTATAGCAGCATCACAAAAAGTAAAGTAAAACATAGAACTATTCTTGGGTTGGTGGTGGTGCTTGCGACCCTCCGTCTACAACAGTTTGTCCCGCTTCCTTGCCCTACTTGTCACCCCTTTTTTTAAAGGTTTTTTGTTGCCACCTTTAGGAATCGCTCTCTCCGCAGCTCGCTTCCCTTTACACGTTTGTTTGTTATGGCCAAAACTCTCACATTTCTTGCACTTGACAGTTTGAAGAGTTCTAGGCAGTGTATTTCTTATCCTCGGTTCATCATTCACCTTGTTACGATTCTTCTTAGGACGATCAATAGATCTTTGCATGACTGGAGGGTTGATTGGGTTAACAACATTAACAGGCCATAGTTGTGGGCCATTGGTTGGCATAATAATATGGAAATTAATTTGGAAAAATGATTTATGGAATTTTGTTGGAAATTGTGGCATCCCATTTGGGAGTGAAACTCTGATATGTGCTTATTTAATTGTTTTATTTTATTTCGGGAAACGGGGTGTTACAACATACACTAGGATGACCTTGTAACTTTAAGCACAATTCATGGTTATGCAAACCACAAATAACACTAAATTTCCATTTTTTGGTACTCAACATGTAACCACAAATCTTAAAAGGACATTCACATTTTCTACTACCGGTGTCGTCTCTTTTAAACTTCTGTAGAGGAGTATGATATTTCCTGCTTCTTTCGCACAACAAAGTTACAAAAGCGTTTCTTCTTTCCGAACCATTATCCGATCTTCCTATAACCACACCAAAACCAAGTCTAGTTGCAGTCCTACGAATCTATATGACCATGCTATCACAATCATCAAACTCTTGCTTGTTATTAAAGTCAACGCCGACATCTACCGACTTTACGACAACCCCTTGAACTTTCGGAGAAATATCGTTTGTGGAAACTAATTCTTTGGACATATTATCGGGGTGCACCATATCTATTTGTAAACAATAAGAAAAATAAACAAAAATTATAAATCTGCTGTAAAAAAACATAACATACACGTTTTGGAGGTGTATATTCAGAAGTGTTCATCTTCAACACGTTCCGGAGGTACAGCTCCGGAAGCAAAGTTACTTTTTTTCCCCAAAACTTTGATGATTAATGTGAGTAATGTAGTGGACAAAGTGCAATATTTACCTGAAATTCTATCTTCTCTTACTCCCTTAGATTTGCGCGAAAAAGTTGGAGTTTTGGAGTGAAAATGATATTGAGAATGTAGGGTATTTTAGGTTAGTGAATCTGAGTATGGAAGAAGAAAAGACAACAATGAAGAAGTGACCATGTAGATTTAAAATATAGCAAAATCTTTCGGAGTTGTATTTACGAAACATTCTGGCGCTTAGATGTTCCAGAGGTGCATCTCTGGAAGTTTCCATGAACTGATTTGTTTTCAAGTTTTTCCCAACGTATACTAGTAGAAAATTATTCTGTAGCTGTAGCTTCGGAAACATCCAAATTTTGACAAAAAAAAAGTACATCCGGATATGTATCTCCGAAAATAAGAGGCATAAAAAAATTTACTAAGTACCTAAGAGTATCGATAAATAGATTAAAAAACTCTCTTTTACATTTTACTAATATTAAACCTCTGTGCCTTTATAAGTCTTATGGCAACCCAACGCAAAATATAATCAATATTCATTGAGACATCAACAATATAGTCATCTTGACAAAAAAATACAACACATATTATACATATTTTTTATAATGTATAATTGATATATTTTTAGACTTGAGCTCCACTATATATATATATATATATATATATATATATATATATATATATATATATATATATATATATATATATATATATATATATATATATATATATATATATATATATATATATATATATATATATATATATATATATATATATATATATATATATATATATATATATATATATATATATATATATATATATATATATATATATATATATATATATATATATATATATATATATATATATATATATATATATATATATATATATATATATATATATATATATATATATATATATATATATATATATATATATATATATATATATATATATATATATATATATAGTATTGCGATAAAAAATTTAAATATAAAATAATTTTTTTCACACAGGTGAAATAATTGAAAAAAAAAAGAAGGCAATTTTGGTGACTGCACTTGGAGTAAGGACCAGCAAATCAATAGAAACTAGAAAAGAGCAATAATTCACTCTATTGTTTGTGCTCCTAATGAGTTATAGCTGTTTAAAATATTGAGTTGGATTTTGGAGCGGCTGTATCTTACTTGTCCCCTTTCGAAACTCGCACAAAACTAGCTTGCCTTTGCCGCTTCTGTTGCTATCAACAATCCTTTTTAATCTACTAACAAACAAAAAGTTTAACAACTTACCCTACTGTACTTTATGTAATTGAAAGGCCACCACTATATTTTGTCTCCATTTTGCCGTACTACTTGTGTTGGGAATAATGTTCATACAAGAACATGGAATTATGGTTGGCCACTTTTACGTTTTTGATTTTATGTTTCACACTTTCACATGGAATGGTTGGTTGTTAACACCGTACGGAATATGGAGTGGTTGATGTAATTTTTGTTGTAATAACATATCACTACTTTATGATCACAAGAGGAAAAAATATCTCTAAATCTACAAATTCAGGTTATTAAGTAAAAGATATTGCTCTTTTGCAGTCATGAAACATTTGAGTATAGTCCGACTTAGCGGAGAAGCGGGTGTTCGGTTATAATGTTTAGATCAAATATAATGTGATGTGGAATATTAATCCTTAAAAGAGATAGTTGGTATTCAAATATGAACAGTAGTTGCATATCGACTACCAAGAAGTTAAATATTAAATATATAAGAGAAGTAATTCATATTCTCAATACTTTTGAGGTTATGATGGAGATGCAGTGTTATCTTCTCTTGTGATTTTGTAATATGAACTTGTTTGTTGCTTTTGACGTTTATTGGATCTCTCCAACAAATAGTATTTGGTTGGTTTAAGTGTGAATGGTTAGTCTGACATTGATAGCTAATCTCACATCAATTATGAATGAACTAAAAATTTGATATATAAGAAATATTAGACATAATTCTAATGTCTTAAGATTTTTGATGGAGAGTTGACGTCTCTCCCTTGTGAACCTATTGATTCCTGACACTTCTATGGAGTCTCCAACAAGTGTTGTCGGAAAAAAACCGTCATGGAGAAAAAATCACAAACAAGATACAAGAATATAATGTGAAAATTTTAAATTCAAAAAAAAAAATCACACATGTTATCTAACGACAACTAAAAAATAACACAACGTAAAAATGATTACAACACATGAACTCTTCTATGATCCCAATGCACTTACACCCTCTAAGAAAAAATAATTAACTACATATGAGATGACTTTTATTTTTTAAATTGAGGCAAAAGACGCCAATGAATATCTTATTGATGAACATTGGTCTCTTGCTATGTATGAAAAGTTAAATCAATTTGAGAAAAACAATATTTGAGAACTTTCATCACGCAACTTTATCAACTGCATACAGTGGAAAAACTTGCAACTCGACAATGTCTTGGTGATCATATCAGCAACATTGTCATCAGTCGAAAACTTCAGCACCTGGACTTCACCATGCTCAATTATCTCTCTGACGAACTGTAGCCTTACATCGATGTGTTTGGTTCGCCCATAATAGACTGAATTCTTCGTGAGGTGTATTGCACTTTGACTATCACACTTAGCAGTGATAACTCGACCTTGAAGTTTCATCTACTTTACAAAACCTTCAAGTCACAATGCTTCTTTCATAACTTTAGTGAGGGCAATATATTCAGCTTTAGTGGTTGATAAGGCAATAACCTTCTGAAGTGTCGCTTTTCAACTGATTGTTGTGCCAAACATAGTGAACACATATCCAGAAATAGATTTTATGGAATCCATACAACCTACATAATCAGAGTCGCTAAATCCTTCAACTTTGAATTTGCTATCATCACCACAGGCTCTACCATAAATCAGGATTCGACTTAGAGACCCCTTTATGTACATGAAAATCCACTTTAAAGCTTGCCAGTGCGCCTTTCTAGGATTGACCATGTACCTGCTTACAAGGCTCACTCCTTACACTATGTTTGGCCTCGTACAAACCATAACATAGATCAAAGAACCCACTAGCATATGGAATGTTACTCATATAGATTCATTCAACTTCAGTACTCGGACTTTGAGTAGTACTAAGCTTAAACTGAGGATTTGTCGGAGTCACAATAGGATTTGAATTCGACATACCAAACTCGTCGAAAACCTTCCCTAGGTATTCCTCTTGAGATAAGCATAACTTCGACTGTTCTCTATCTCCCTGGTTGTCAATCCCAAGAATCTTAGTGGTAGCTCCCAGTTCCTTCATTTTGAACTCCTTACTGAGTTCAACGTTCACCTTCATTACATCCTTGAGACTGTTGCTAGCTATGAGGATATCATCCATATAGATCAACAAAATAATAAGTGAGTTTCCAGGTCGAAATTTGAAGTAAACACAGTGATCGGACTGACTCTTAGTGAAACCAGTGTGTGCCATGAACTTGTCAAATCTCATGTTCCACTTTCGAGGAGATTATTTCAGGCCATACAAAGACTTATTCAGCTTGCGCACATAATCTTCCTTACCCTTTTCTGCATACCCTTCAGGTTGTCATATAAGGATCGTTTCATCTAGATTACCATACAGGAAGACTGTATTCACATCCATTTGTTCAAGTTCCAAGTCGAACTTCGCCACTATGGCCAACAACATTCTAATGGATCTACGCTTTACAACAAGTGAGAACATATGATTGAAATCAACACCTTCTTTCTGACTGAACCCCCGTAGTAACCACCCTTGCCTTACAGTGTTTCGACATCAGTCCTTCGATTCCTTCCTTGACCTTGAAAATTCGTTTACAACTGACTAACCTGGCTCCTACAGGTTTCTCAATCAGCTCTCAAGTGTTATTATCATGAAGATATTTCATCTCGTCATCCATGGTTTTCGTCATTCAGTCTTGTTTCCAGTCCTCATAGCTTCATTGTAGTCTCTAGGTTCTTCCTCAAGTACCTTACTTATGGAAATTAAGGCAAAAGCTATAAGATCTGCATAAACAAGTCTCTGAGGTGGCTTTATGACTTTTCTCGACCTATCTCTTTCCAGTAGGTAGTCATCGACAATTTCCTCAGTCTTTTTAGCATCTTGCTCTTTTTCTTCGACTTCATTTGGGTTATACACTTCAGCATCACTATGTTCCACTTCAACAGGAATCTCTACCTGTTCTTGCTCCTCTTTAGAGATTTCTGCACTTTGACCAGCATCACCAATTTTTTTGAACGCCATCTCGACTTCATTGAAAACTACATCACGACATATGATAC